TTGAGCCCCGAGAGGCTTTGATTCTGAGACAATGAAACCAAACATGGATCACCTCCAGGGTAACACACAGCTAGCAGCTGTTCCCTCTTCTGCCTGAAAGCTTTGCTGTCTCTGCCTGGGAGAAGACGTGGTCTCTAGAAGGAAGGACAAAGCCCTGACTCAATGCTCCAGCCCAGCCTGGCCCTTTGGGGCTTCTTCCTTAACAGACCACAGATTCCCTCCTCTTCCCTGTTCTTAAAAGTGACTATTCCCCATCCCTTTGACTGCGCTGGAACACAACATTTAGGGGACGGGAAGTGGCATGGGGGGAGATGCCGGGACCTGGGTTATCGGGAAGGATTTCCATGGAGAGACAAGTGCCCTTTCATCTTCTTCATAAATTAAGACATGCTCGCTATCTACTCAAATGTCGGTGGATTAATACATTAAATGCTGATTTATTGCTCACATAAAGTCCAGTTGGTATTGGTGGGGGCAGAAGGGCCTCTGCTCTGAACAGATGTACAGGCTGACAGAAGCTTTGCTGTCTTCAGTAAGTGGCTTTTTTTTTTTTTTTTTAGTACCAGGGATTGAACCCAGAAACCCAGAAGCACTTAACCACTCAGTCACATTCCCAGGCCTTTTTATATTTTATTTAGAGGCAGGATCTTTCTAAGTTGCTTAGTGCCTCACTAAATTGCTGAGGCTAGCTTACTTGCAGTCCTCCTGCCTCAGCCTTGCGAGCTGCTGGGATTACAGGCAAGTGCCACCGCGCCTGCTTCAGTAAGTATGGCTTCTAAGCTCACTTTGGGTATTGACATCAGTCAGAGAGAGTAGAGGGAGACTGGGAAAATTTTCAGGATCCAGCCTGCAAGTAACACCTCTCATTTCTGCCACATTCCACTGGTCAGCACCGTCTGGTGGCCCCATCTAGTAATCATAGGGTGGGGAGAGGGGGTGGTCGGCCACTTCCCAGAAACACCACGCACTATGAAGGGGAGCGTGAGGCTTTAGCGGACATCCTAGCCATCCTGGATGGCCTCCTACCCCAGACTTCCCTCCTTGGGCCTTTGCTAATTTGCACACCAGTGAGCCCTTGAGGGTAGGAAGAGACAGGGCCTTTTCATCTCCAGTGCTTAGCTCACGCCAGGCCATTGGAAGTGCTCAGGGGTGTTTTGTAAATGAACAAATATTTGGGTATCATTTTGCTTGTTAAAAATACAGAAGTGGTAAAAAACAGTTTGGCAATTCCTCAAAAAGTTAAAAATAGAATTACCATATGGGGCTGGGGATGTGGCTCAAGCGGTAGCGCGCTCGCCTGGCATGCGTGCGGCCCGGGTTTGATCCTCAGCACCACATACCAACAAAGATGTTGTGTCCGCCGAGAACTAAACAATAAATATTAAAAAAATTCTCTGTCTCTCTCTCTCTCTCTCTCTCTCTCCTCTCTCACCCTCTCTTTAAAAAAAAAAAAAGAATTACCATATGATTAAGCAAATCAAAATTCTGGGTATAAACCCCAAAGAATTAAAAGCAGGGACACAGATACATACACACCCCTGTTCACAGCAGCATTTTGTGCTTGTGAAAATGTGGAAACAAACCAAGTGTCCATCAACAGATGAATGGATAAAGAAAATGCGGTAAATACCTACAATGAAATAGTATTCATCCTTAAATATTAGTTAAATTCCAATATATGCTAGAACATGGAGGAAGCTTGCAGACATTCTGCTGAGATAAACTATATGTAAAAGGACAAATGCTTTATGTCCACTTATATGTGCTCCCTAGTATAGGTAAATTCATAAATGGAAAGTAGGACAGTGGTTGCCAGGTGCTGGGGGGAGTTGGTGGTGGTACAGGGTTATGGGATGGTAGAGAGTTGGGAGGGACAGAGTTTCTGTTTGGGATGATGAAAAAGTTCTGGAAATGAATAGTGGGATGGGTGTACAAGGTGAGTGTACTTAATGCTGATGAATTGTACATTTTTAAAATGATTAAAGTGGTAAATTTTAGGGTATTTATCTTTTACCATGGTAAAAATGTAAATATCTGGGCTGTATCACAACAAATTCTGATTCAGCTAAAATTGGTAAGATCTGGGCTTCTGTATTTTTTAACAAGCTCTGAATCTGAAATGCTGCTAAGTCTGAGGCCCAGTAGTTTAGCGCTGGCTTTGGCAGATGGGAAAGACAAGGGGTGGTCTTTTTATGGCCTTCTAGAAAGAAAGCTTTTTTTTTTTTTTTTTTTAAATTTTATTACTGGGGATTGAACCTTCATCTTTGCACATGCTTAGGAAGTGTTCTACCACTGAGCTATATTCCCGGCCCTCATGGCCCTCTAGAGGAGGGCTTCTTAAACTTCAATGTGCATAGGGGTCCCCATGGGACTGTTGCTAAAATGCAGCTTCAGAGTCAGTGGTCTAGGTTGAGGCCTGGGATTTTACATGTCTTGCAAGCTCCTGGTGGTGCTCACACTACTGGTCCATGGATCACACTTTGAGGATTAAGTCTCTCAAGGTGGCCTTGTCTGTCGGGGACAAAAATTGAGATCTGAAAAACAGCTATCAGATGTTTAAGGTGATTGCTCCAGAAGGAGTTTGACGATGTTGATCTGGGGATGAGCGACAAGGAGCAAGGGTTTCATTTCTTGGTGAATTCACTTCTGAGTTTGGTTCAAACAGTCACCCTTTGGCTTAGTTAATATCAAGTTTAGGGATTATTAGCAAATAAAATGGCCTGGCTTTTTCCCAAGGCTGTCTGAATGCCAGACCTTGTACTTTATAGTCAGGGGCCCAGTTCAGTTGGATATAAGTTAAGCTGGCTCCTGTTTCGCTTTTCTCAACCCCTCTTAGTCCTTCTCTATCTCCAGACCTTCTCCAGCAGTGCCTCCAGAGGGGATCCCTCCCTTCTACCATGTCTCCTGAGTAAAGTACGTCAGAGCTTCTTGTTGCATTCAGACCTGTGTATTTGCTCAGCTCCTTGAATCATTTACTGACAGTTTCGTATCACTGCTTACCTCCTGTAGGTCCTGCTTGCACCACAGGGTCCAGGAGACTCTTCATCTGGTTACATCTTTGAAGCAGAACTGAAACTTAGACTTCGAATAGTGGAACGTAAGGTAGTATGGCACAGTAGTCAAGGAAAGACTCACTTATGATTTAGGGCTTGTTCCATCTCTTCTTGCTCCTTTAACCTCGGATAAGTTACCTAACTTCTAAAAGCCCCGGCTTTCTCACATGTTAAATGGAAATCCCACCTTTCTCTCCAAATTTACAATGAGGTTACAAGAGGTAATATGAGGAATGTGCTCTGCTCAACACCTGACATATAGTGTAGGGCTCCACAATGTATTTTCATGACAAAGTCCCCTTTGAAGCACTCAGGCTTGTGACTCCATCCTCTGTCCACTCTGGCCTCTGATAAGTTGTTCATTGTGCTGACAGGAATTTTATCTGATTCTTGTTGGTTTCTTCAAACATGTCCAGCATGCGGGGGAGTGTTGAGGCTGGTTGGGTGAGATGTACATTCTCAATCCACTTCTAGGCTGGACTCCTAGATTTGGTCATCGTGTTTGCAGTTCTGGAGAAGGCCTGCAGATGGCGCACACAGACCTGAGAGGCATCTGGTCCTAGTGATGAGATGAAGCTGAGCCGGCACCAGGCGCCTGAAATGTAGGGCCTTGGTTTTCAGGATGCTGTTAGCTGGTTTTCCAGGGAGGGTCCTGGGTGTGGGGTCTGATGTGGATATTTCCCCATAAGCCTAGGAATCAACACGGAATACAGGAACTCTGCTCCTCTTGCAGTGCTGACCTCTCTTACCTGGTAATATTTATTCATGCGTGGGACTCCCCTGCATCTGCACACGTGAGGTGCTCAGAGAATGTTTGTAGACTGGACTGTTTTTTAGGGTGCTTCTGTTAAAGGTCATGCATCCCAGGCAGGATTTCATGGTGGCCCGGGCTGGTAGATGTGACTCACCTGCCCAAATTCCTTTCTTACCCTCAGGCCTGTTAG